TGGGAATTTCTGGGGAAAACACTCTAAAACTTTAGCACAAGTCCTGCAGGAGGTGGAGAGTCAGGGAGGTGCAACTGCTCAGAAATTACTTTCTTTTCATCTTCTAGAGACACTCTGTGGAATTTGAAATGACTGTAGTCAGTATTCAGTAGGGCTTCCCAGGTATAAATGTAATAAACCAAATGATTCTTCCATCAGAGAGAGAGCTTTTTGAGCTCTCTTCCCAAGATACTGCTCTGTGCACAAGGGGATTTCTGTAATAATTACCCCTGAGTACCCAGTGGAATAAGCGGTGATTACACTGTCTAAACATAGAAATAGATCCCTGTGTCATTGGTTCCACAACTGACGGGAGGCCTTACTCCAAATTTCTAAGGGTTTTTTAGTTTTCATATTCCTCTAGCACTGCAAGATTGAAGATACACACAGGGTTGTACAGACTTTCTTGCTCTGCAGCTTGTATGAACTACCTGTCTCGTGACTTGTGTAATAAACAGTTGCTGTACCCTTGGGTTCCTTTCCTCAGCTGCAGAGTAGGGACAGCAGATGTTCTGCAAAATGAAATCCTTCATGATTATGGGATTGCTCAGAGGGCCATAATACCTCACTCCCAAGAGAATGAGTCAGTCAAGCAAAATAGAATACTATTCCTATTTCCTATCAGGACAAATGGAAATCATAACACTGTTAGTAAACCAAGCCACCAAATGGAGGCAAAGAACCAGACACAAAACTGGCAGAAGAAGCTTATACCTGTGTTGTGATGGTCTGAGAGATCATACAGAGTACCGAGGAGAAATATTTCTATTGGACAAAGGCCCACCTTCACTACCCCCTATTTTTGCCAAGCTAGAGGGTCTCGGGAAGAATGAAAATGTTGGAAAAGCTAAAAGGCAAACTGAGATCTTGGAGACAGTGTGTGCAATTTGTATCACTATCCTAGAAGGTCTGCTCAGTATTAGTTCACAATATTCTACTCCTTCACAGTTATGTACTAACTTTCACACTTAATTACAGAAAAATAATTTATCTCATCAGACTGACTTGCTGAATTAAGGATTCTAAATTTCTTCTTCATGCCTTGGACCAAGGCACCAAATATAAACCCTCTGTCTACAGTCAGTCTCTAAATATAGCCAAGAATTAAGATATTCCTGCTTCTGCATCCTAAATAATCTAATGGAATCAATTATGGGTTTGCGTAGATGACATCTGGTATTTGCAAATACAACATGAAACATGAAATCCAACCAAAATAAGCATGAAACTAAAGTTTCCACCCATCCTATTTCATCCTCAGTAAACATATTATTGTTTTGCATCACGGGGTGGATTTTTCATATTTATTACAGACTTTGGCTTAGAAGCTCTCCAAGAGTATGTAACACTTGCAAAAGAAAAGGGCTGATAACTTTGACTTCAGCCAGTGGTTAAGCCAGATGAGTGAACATCATTCATGCATTCACTGAGAACACTGTCTCATTGCTTGGATTTTCAGCCTTGCGCTTTTATTGATCAGCATGCCAGTCACACCAAGTTAAATAACAGTTTGCATAGTCAGATACAGCAAGGTTCAGAGTGAACACCAACATCAGCTGTGGAAAGGACAGAATCTGAAATGGATTAAATACAGCTCTGTCCCACTGCGCCAGTAAGATCTTTGCCCATTATAGCTGGAAGCTAAGGATAGTCCCACTACACAGTATCCATGTTATCAACCCATTTCAAAATATAACCCCTTGCAGCACTCTCCTAGCATCATAATTAATGCTTTAGCCTCAAGCAGCCAAACATACTCTATTAGGGCTAGAATGCAAACTATCCCTGGATGTAAGTACACAGGGTTTGGGGGGGGGGGGGGGGGGGTTTTTTTTTTCTTTTTTTTTTTTAAATAAAGCTAAAAT